AACAAGTACAGTTCAAAAGAACTTAACTAGCCACATTGAAAAGACTATGGTAAAACATATGATAACTAAATTCTAGGGGGAATAGATAAAACTTATGATGACCATGAAGTAGCATATTTTGATAGTAGGAGGAAACTGAACCAAAGAAAATAGCTCAAGAAAGACTACAGTAGAATAGCTCTGAATGCTGGATTATAACAGGTTCTTTCCTCTACAGGCCCCACAAACATTTTTCAGCCTAACCTGAACTTGTATTTATTTAACTTTACTGTGGTATTTCTTCCTGCTTCTGAATTTATCAATAAAATCCTGGTTTTATTTAAGATAACTGGTGTATGTCTTGGATAAAAGAAACAAACAAAAAAGGCCTCTACTTTTTCCTTTGGGGTATGAGTAGGACATGAGGCAGTTAATGGCCTTGTGGTTGGGCAGTTCATGGTAGAAGTTTGAGACTCTCCCTGGACATGACCACAGACTTTCCAGAGTTATTATCAACAAAGGAGAAGGTAATGATAGATATATTGATTGTGTTAGTTACAAAAAAAATACGTGTCTATAATGTGACTTTAGTCTAAGTTAAACTTGACTTTGCAATAGGAAACATTCTGGATCATGTTGGAAGCAGGAAAGGTATCACTGATGTGCTATTTTAGTTTCCACATAACTTTACCTTATCTATAGGCTGCTACTTTTCACTCAGTGAAAAGTAGCTCTCAACTATACATTTTGTAAAGCTGCTAATATTTCAGTGTCAGAACCAATTGGATTTTTACACAAAATACTTGCCTTGAGACATGTCACTGTTGGGCAGAAAATAAAGAGTTGGGTTTATGGCCTGCAGAGCCCCAGAGAGAGCCAGACTTGCTTTAAATAGTACATGTGGAATATCCACAAATCATATTTTTTAGATTTCATGGGAAGATATTATTATTTTTAGTCTTAAAGGAGCCAATGAGTTAAGACAAATCTGAATATTTGAACAGCCTGTAAAATATAAGTTGGGATCAGATTTTCATAACCATCACAGCTGCAGAAAATTCTGGCAGCTTCTCCTGAGGAGGAAAATATTCCCACGAGTTCAGGTTTATGTTGCTTAGGGGAGGTAAGTACTTCAGTTACCATCCCATTTGTAACAAGAATTTTGTGTTTTAAACAGGGAAGTGTGTTTTATCTTTGGGGATCAGAAGTTCCTTTTTTTAAGAATAATATTCACGAAATCGGTGCAGTGTCCCATCCATTAGCAATAAGATGGAAAACCCAGCAGCATTAATCTAGCTATACTTACCTTCTGGCACTACTTATTGCTATGCTTGTGACAAGCAGTTAGTCCTGTTGTACTTAATCATGTGCAGGCGGGAGTAGCAGGTAATCTCTCTGCCCAAAGAATTTCCTGTCTAATTGGATAAGGCTATTGAAAAGGAGAATGTGATGCACAGAGTTAACAGTATCAGATAGAAGATTTTATATTGGTTAAATGATTTTTGGTTGGTTGGTTGGTTGGTTAGGAAGTGCTAAGTCAACTGGCATGAAACCTCAGGGAAAGAAGTTAGGTGCTGGGGAAAAAACCATACAAGAGTGCTGCTGCAGAGTATGACTGAGAAAGGAGCAGTGAGAAAGAGATTCAGAGCAAGCTGCTGAGGAGCACAGGGTTGGAAGTCCTGCCACAGTCTGGCTGCTCTATGCTCTCTGCTTTGGCAGGTTCTGTAGCTGCTCCTGCTGTCTGAGGTTTCTGACTTGTTCTTCTCCAGTAGTTTTTCTTTAGACTATATGGCTAGGGAAGAAGGAAAAAGCCATCCTAAGTTCTTGCACTTTGAAAATTATGTTCTCTCTTACATATATTGTAATCTGGGACAATCCAGTAAAAGGAATTGTCCTTTTTGAGGTTTTTGATCTCTATTTATTTGCAGCAGGTTCTGAACCTTGCTGTACTATTGCCTCACTCATGCTTGTAATACTACAGTTTGTGCATCAGTCCCCGCTTTTGGAGCTCCATTCTATTGTTTTCACCCCTTTTTTTTTTTTTTTTTTTTGATACTCCAAGCTACAAAAACCCTGGTAATGTTGAATTGAATTTCTTTTTCTAAAGTGGAATTTAAAGTAATTCATTTTACTACCCTACCTATGAATATATTTTTGCCACTTCTGCTTTTTTATGTTGCTTTGTGAATGACCCCGTAAGAAAAACGAACTAACCAGATGGAAAATAATGAAACAAGCAAGCTTGAAATTGCCATCAAAGTACATAACATAAATTAGCTAAGGCCAGACATTTTCTCAAGTATATTTTACATTATTCCTAAGTGTTAATGCTGACAGTAATATCTAAAATGTATTATGTTTATGTGCTGCTAAAGGATGAAAAATAGCTAAATTATTAAATTACTTTGATTTGACTACTAGAGGGTATTGGGATACAATATAGCAAATCAGCCTGTCTGTCAGCTTGAAACTTTTCTCCTTCAGAACCTTTGAATAGTTTAAATATTCTGTCACTTTTGTTTTCTTTTTCTAGTTCTTATGAATTCTTTCTTGGAAGTTGTGCCTTAGCAAAATAATATTCTGTGGTACTATGCTGACTTCGTATATTTTTGTACTGTGCAGTTTTGAAATACATGATAAATAAGCTACTGTGTTTCCCAATGCATGAGATGCCTTTTACCCCTCCTCCCCCTGTGAGTGCAGATACAGGATTATATATATATCCTGCCCACTAAAGTGTGAAATAATGGATAGGATAATTGAATTCAGACCAGTTACTTAGAAAAGATATAACCTGTTTTGGTAGTCACTTTGAACTTAAGTATGAGAGATCGTGATTTAAGATCAAATGAGTTACAGAGCCAAATCTGGGTATGAATTACTGCAAACACGTGGAGCTACAGAAGGATATCTGTTTCTTAATAATAAATTTTGTTAATTGAAATTTTTTATTCTATGTTTGGTGTTAGTTCATACATTGCTGTTTACTGGAGTGTGTCTGATAGTTGCTATCATAGATCAGCAGCCATACTGATTTTACATGGCAGATTTTTACATGGCAAAATACAGAGGAAAGAACAGAAATACAGTTGTGGTTGGATGATTGAGTCCACTAAAAGTAGACCAGAACATGCAGAATTTGCTGAAAGTCAAGAAGTTAGTCAAACAAAGCACATTACAAGTTTTGTCTTATCAAGAATTGTCTTTTGAAAACAGCAAAGCAAAAGTACCATAGGATTTCTATGAAAATATACATTATTACTACAGATTCATGAAGTGTTATAGTCTGCTTAAGGAAAGAGAAAAATATTACAGTGTTTTCAGGTTTGATAGAAACAAGAGGGTCAAAATACTACAGGAAGCAGGGCAAATTGGAAACATGTTTGAGATTGTTCTTATCTAAGCTAGGATGTGGAAAAGTGGAAGGAATATTCTCAGAAAAACCAGTGGCCATGGAAACATGCTGTACATCATGGTATATTATGTTGCTGTGTATGAAAATTTCTAATGGCAAGTGAAATCTCTATTGGTATTTCTGGGCCATAAAGATAAGTAAATGAAAAAAAAAAAAGTAGAATAGCAAAATGTCTTAATGAGATGCAGATATAATGGGGCTATGAAGAAGCCACTCCTGGCAATTATTGTCATGTAAGCATAGAACTACTGGAGCAGAGACTGCGTAAAGAAGGAAGTGTGCTGCTTATTGTGCCTTATTACACATCAAAGCTTTTGCCCTTGGATGTTTCCTGTAACAGACCTTTGAAAAGTGTTATGAAGAAACATTGGAGTAAGTGGGTGATGGAGGGATGACCGGGTGTTTGTTTACACTGCAGGGAGTTTACAAGGCCTTACTATACAGGTGTGTTAGTTGATTGAACTTTTTGAAAGGGATCACAGCAGAAGCAAAATGTAGCTGAAGCAAAGCACTTGCTGGTATTAAGGAGACTGGATATGACAATTTAGAGCTACAATTCTGAAAAGAGAGAGAGAGACTTCTATTGTTTCAGTGGTTGTGAGAATCAAGATGACATGCATTTAGTGATGAACTATGAAAAACAGACTACTGATCAAAGGTAAGAAAACAATAAAGCTTGTCTTCAGTGTTGTAAAGCTATCTAAAGAATGTACAAGGTTGTAAGTTGCAAGTAGTTGTAACAATTCAAAGCGAATGAATTTTTTTTCACGACTTTATCTTTGAGGGTCTAATGGAAAAGTGCATCTTCTGCTTAGAAAACACAGAACGTATTGATAATTTTAGGACTGCTTTATTTGTACTTTTGTCAGTTTTAATAATTGTTACAGTCCTGCTTCTTGGATTCTTCCTCTTCAGTTTGTAATATAACAACCCTTATGCTTCCTGTTCTGAGGCACTGCCTAAATTTCTACCAGTACATTTGTAATCTTATCCAATCTTCATCCATTTCCTTATTTGTTTAATGTAAAAGTCTGTGTAAACATTACTTAGTCATCAATGATATTTTCCCATTATATTGTTTTACAGTGGCAAATTTATCATGTCTCAAAAGTTAATGGATAAATCTAGAGTTTGGTGTTTCCCAGCAAGACAAGGAACATCAGCTAGCAGCAGCAAAATTTTCCTGTACTCCGATGTGCATGTGGGAACCCAACTTGGTAGCTGTAACTCATGTCCTTGTTCCTGAGGCTTTCAGTGATGGCATATCAGTATTGGTGTCGCTTTTGGGCACGTGTCAGATGAATGTTGCTTTAAAATGCTTTTTGAATAAAAAAATTGAAGTGTCTATCCTGGTAATAGCATCCAGATGAAGAATAATTGTTTGCTATAATATGAAAGTTTTATTGGTTCTAATAAGGTAGTTTATGTCTAATGTTTAGTTCTTTAGCCACAAAAATTTATACCTGTTATAGACCATTTTTACTTGTAGGCTAATTCTAGTCTCATATGTTGTTGAACATAATAATACAAAACAAATTGGTAATTGCAAAAGTGACTTTATTGTGATTTCTTTTGTCTCATGATGATGGTTATTGTTGTTGTTTAGGAAACCTGAATTGACTGACTCTGCCTCTCTGCTAGAGACCTTCAAATTTCTTGAAAATGCAGCTGCAGAATTTAGTGATGAAGAAGATGAAGAAGATATTGAAGGAAGAGAGAAAACAATCATTGATACCGCAACAGTGAGTGGAAAAAATAATTGAAAAAGTTGCGAAGAATAGAAAAAGTGAGATTAATGAGATGCCTATAAGCAAAGTATATGACTATGTATGTACACGTGCAAATAGTTAATGCATCTTTATGATGTTCAGTCCAAGCATGTGTGCATAAGAGGAATTATACATGCATTTCTGACTTTGTATGTACAAGTTAAGCTTTTCCATCTAAGTTTGCAGTAACCGATTGAATTTTTTTATTTTCCTTTTTACTATTCCAGTACTATTTTTTGTTATATATTGGAAACAATTTTTAAAGTATCAGATGTCCTTTTTTAAAAATTTTCAGCATAGTTTGAAGGTATTGTTCATAATGTTGCCTGTCAAAAATGCATTGGTTCTTGAATACTTATTGAAAAATTCTTGATAATTAAAATGACTTGTAGAAATTTGTCCTTGTAGAATACAGAACTGAAATACATTTCTCTTTAAATAACTTATGGAAGGAACAAAAAAGTATAACCAAAAGATCTCTAATGCGATTAATAAACTTTTTTTCTTTCTTTGTTCAGTGAAATGCCTGAACCTACCAACCCTGTGATCTAAACTTTGCTATGTTTTGTTCATACGATGACATAAAATAGATACATGCAATCAGTACTCAATTTTATCCTTTTCTTTTAAAAATTAATATTTATTCAGTGAGTTGTGTTTCCTAAGTATTGAAGCAGCTAAGATCGATGTGATTATTTTTGTGGTCAGTTTTAAGAATTAAAACACTTAAAACCCCATCAGTTTTACAGTGTTTTTCAAGAGGATCTTTGTAAACTTGTTCCTGTCATCCGTGGACTGTGAACTAATGTCAGAGGCTCTTCTGTAAAATCTTCTGTAATACAGTATGTTCACTAAGCCTGCTGAAGAAATGAAGCTTGAAGTTTAGAATTGCTTCAGGTTTTGAAGTTTTTTCACTGTATTTAGAGGAAACAGTGAGTCATGTTCATGAACTATGAGATGTTGGCCTATGTACTCAAGTCTTTTCAGACTGACCCTTAGCAAGGTTCCAAGTCAAAATATTTTAATATTATAAATTTTCCTCTTCTGTAGAAGTGGAATTTATGCTGTGGTTTTCAGGTATCATGGCATCAGCTTACCTGTTAGTCAAATAACTGTAAAGCATCTAGTCCATTTTGATTATGGAGGGAAAAGTAAATTTATTGCAGAAAGCATTCAGTGAGGTCTTTCATTAAAATGTGTATTTTTTTCTTTTACCAGAATTTGCTTTTGAGTTCGAAAGGAAAATGCAGTTTAAACATGAAAGCACCACGTTTAAATAACGACAATATCTGAGAAAGTATTCAGGGTGGAATGATTTGCTAAATCTATGCAAATTGACTTTTGACAATTGTGGGGTTTGGGGTTTCGTTTTTTATTTCCTAGACCTGTATTTTGGTCCACATGTAGAGTGATTTCAGAAGTGAAGGTCAGAAAGGCTATTTTCAGAGAAGTAGAGTAAGTTTGGTTTTGCTGAAGTCTTTTCTACAGCATTCTTGTTTTTTTGTTTGTGGGTTTTGTGTTTTAAAATCAGTTTTAAGAGAAAGTTTGTACTTTCCAGTAGTAAAAAAAGATAGTAATGGTCTAGATCAGTGTCAATTCATCATCAATGATTAGTTATTGATGGTCACAGGAAAGAAAGAATTACAGACAAATTCCATTTTGACTTAGAAATTGGAACCAAGTCTGCATACTATTCCAGATTTGCTTATTAATGTGTACTTTTCTACTTCCTCTTCAACTTTCTGTTTGGATTTTGCATAGAAGACAAGACAGTACTGCTCGGTATAAAGATGTGCGTGTAACTTAATTCAGCCTTTTTTCCTGTCCTTTCTGACCTTTCAGATTGTAAGGAAAAGAGTGCTATCTGAGAGCAGTGAAGACAGAGATACAGAAGAAGCTTTGAAAGAGTTTGACTTTTTGGTTACCTCAGATGATGGTGATGGGGAATCGAGAAGTTCAGGAGATGGAACAGACTGGGGTAAGGAAATTGAATGCATCGTACCAGTAAAAAAACAATATGTGCGAAGAATATATTGTGATTGATCAATTGAGAACTCTATCAGGATCATAGCACCTTTTGAGTATTTCTATACTAAATAATTGGCAGACCGAATTTCTTTTGAAAAAATATTCATTTTTCTGTACACTGCTTTAATCTAAGGATTTTTCATGGTTTATGCTTCTGGTAATTTTTCCTTTTGAATATTAAGGCAGGTAGAATTTAAATTTTATGAGTGTTGTTTCAATGTGTTTTTCCAATTACTCATGCTAATGAAGGGGTCTCATAAAGCTGTATTTTACAGTTATGATATGAAAGTTATTTTGTGTTCTTTGCTTTCTCCAGAGAATAATGTGAGTCATAAAGGCTGAATTTCTTGTACCCTTATTGTGAGTTAGCAATTTGAGCAATATAAACACTTCAGTTGCTCAACCTTTCCTTCAAAATTTAGCAGAATAATTTATCTTTAAGCCCACTACTCATAGAGAGACATTTCACAGACTGTTCTCTGTCCTTTGATTTTCATGTCCTGCAACCCAGAATGCCAGCATCCACTTTATGTTGACATAATTATTTGCCTAAACCCATTGTGTAGGGAAGGGAAGAAAGAAGAAAACTGTTTAAATATATTGACGGGGAGTTGTTTCCTACTTAAGCTGCTCTGGAAAGTCTTAAGGATAAGTGAATACAGAGGGAGCTATTGACAGTGAATGGGAAATAACTGAGCTTTATAATGGAACTACAACTGTGACAGATCAATAAGCCATGGTAGCTGTAGCTCTCACGTGAGCCATCAGCTCTGAGGTGCTCTATTTTACTGAAGCCGTGTCAAACTCCTGGTTGGACTTCAAATTATTGTGTGATGTAGTCTTTCTGCTTAAGAGGATGTGTTGTAATATCATTAGATATAGCAGTCAGTATTGTATTCACAAAAAAATTTAGGAATATTACTCTTTTTTATGATAAAGGTTTTTCTGATACTTATCTTTAATATTAAAATTTTATCCATTTATGCTTGGTAAGTGTAGCTATTGTTTGTGTCACAGTAAAGTCAGTATGCCAAGAGGAGCTTTGTGTTCTCAAATTCACACTTCTGGTTTATTTTTACTTTCATTGATGAAAGCTGAGTACAAATGTGCAGAAGTCTAACATTTAAAATAAATTGTCATGAAAAGTAGTAGTCTAGAAATGAGTTAGAGGTTTTCATGTTTTTCAGTTACTTGTTTCACAACCTGTGTCTTTTATGATAACTGTGTATAAGACTAAGCTTCTTCAAAGAACTGCCATTATGAATCACTGATGTTACTTTAAGTGTAACTGATGTTGTGTAGTGATCTCAGAAGCAAACAGACGAAATTCTTTCTTTGGATCGCAAGTATCAGTTATAGTAATCTGTTGAATCCATTTAGCTTGAAAGGTCCTCAGATATGTTCAGGTAATTTTTAAACTATAAAGCACTTGAACAGGAGTAGTTTAGGATCCACTTCTGAAATTGAACAGAATCTGTAGGACATGTGGGAAGCATCCTGGAACAGTCCGTAGAAAATTAATATATTAGGTATTTTACTGGCAACAACACAGTCTAATAAAAAGCTATTTAAACATTTTTTTTTTTTTGCTGGAGGAGAGGAAAAAAAAAATCTTGTCCAACCAGGGAACTTGAAACCTAATCCCAGAAAGAATACATACTTGTTTCTCTGAAGCCTGATTTTCTCATATCTTATTTGAGTTCTTCATGCAGTTTTTGATCATTAGTGGTAATTGGGGCATATGTATTAAGAGGACATGACTTAGCCCATAGACTATTTTAGAGTCTCTCTTCAACTTAATAATACCTGTTTTCATAGCTTCTGCAAAGGACTTATGCTGCTAAAATTTGCATCTTGAATTAGTCTGTCACTCATGAATACAGAATCATGACTGGAGGGTTCAAAGGAAGGAGGGGTCATCTCAAAAAGTATTTTGTTCTTCTGTGGTGTAAGTCTAAGCAGAGTCTGTTTTCTCAATTGCTTGCACATTAGGTAGTTATAGGCTGCTAAGATACTCTTTTTGCTACCACTGAACACTCACAGTAGTCTCAGCCCCTCCTTGTAACTGACTTGCTCCAGCTGCCTTAACCATCTTAGTGGCTCCCTTAGACTTGCTACGCTACACCAATAGTGGGTACTTAGCGTTATACCTAAAAGGTTTCTGAGTATTACAGATATTATACTGGATGCAGTACTCAGAGGTGTGGTTTTACAAGTGCCGGATAGAGGGGAACAGTCACTTCCCTCACTGGTTACGTTCTTGTTAATACAGCCCAGGATGCAGTTGATTGCTTTTCCTGCAAGAGTATGCTGCTGAATCCTGTTGAATTCGATGTTTATGGAGGATTCCTAGGTCTCTTTCAGCACGAATCATTTCTGACAAGTCAGTCCCTGTAATAACCCATGTCTGGTTTTTGTCTTCTGTCCAATCATAGTGACTCGTTCAGATTGTGATTAATAGTGTTCTGCTTCCTCTACAGACATGTAATTTCTGCAGCTTAGTCTGAGGATAAGTTTATTATTGTTCATATTTTTAAAAGGTCTAGAATAGCTTACTGATCTGCAAAGCAAAGTTGGTCTGAAAGGAATTAATTTTTAAATAAAAAGATTGAGATTTTAATGAGAAAATAAAGCAAAAAGTTAACGAATTTCAAAAAATTTCGTACCTGTAGTGGTTATGAAAATAAATATATATATGGAAAAGCTGTATTACCTCCCCTTCTCCTGCAAATTATTTTTCTAAGCTGCCTCAGTACAGTCTCTCCATATATGGGAAAAATGACTTGGAGATTTGAACTCACGTAACATGTTTTGTTCAAAATCTCCAAATACCGTACAATTGGAAGGATATTTCTTCTCTGTATCATGTCACAGTGGAAGCAATTTGGGAGAAATATTTAGAAAAAAAAACGAACCAAAGAAAACAAAAAAGGGGATTTTTTTTTTGTTAGGCATGCTGAAATATTTTGGGATTTTTTTCCAAAGATTAATAATTCAGGCTTTCACCTTTTTTGCTAAATTTCGTGGCTTTAGTGCTTTAAGATTTTGTTTAAACCATGGTGACATGTATACTATGTTCCAAAATTATTTAAATGTGCTACTGCTTTGTGTAAATGACAACATAGCACAAAGACAATAAAATGAGAAATTGAAATGCAGTAATGCAACATCTGAGTTGTAAAGTTATGTTGATGAGTAACATAGCTGTTTCTTCTAGATGTAGTAATTCTTTCCCTGGAGGAGAGAAAAAACCTGAAAAATATGTCCTGATTTATTATAAAGTAAATGTTGCTTACATTTATGAACAGCTATGTGCTTGGTTGTAAGAATTAGACATGTGAAATTTCATCTCAATTTATTAAGAAAATTCTGAGCAAATAGAAGTGGAATGTGAGTAGCAGTTTTACGGCTTTCACAAGCTTGGTGCTATTTCTGTCTGTTTAAAATAAAAGACAAATGCCATTGACAGCAGCTGTTGCCTCCTTCAGTGGAGATCACTTGGTGACATTATTGAAAAAGGATGTTTCATTTGTTTCACTTTGTTTAGAAAAGGAAGACCAGTGTCTCATGCCTGAAGCCTGGAATGTCGACCAGGGAGTTATAACCAAACTCAAGGAACAATACAAAAAGGAGCGCAAGGGGAAAAAGGGGGTGAAGAGTAAGTGGAAAACATTGCACTTTAAAATCATAAATCTCACATCTTTCACACCCTTAATTCTATCTCTCTTTCAATGTTTTCCTAAAATTACTTACTCTTTTACTTTGCTGCTCCTGACTGCTTTCCTGTTCACCAGTTCTCAGGGGTTGAAATTAATGACAGACAATCAAGTTGCCCGATAAATAGTTGGGGATTAGATATAACTTCTTCCAACCAAGTGTTGGATTAGTTAAAAATTCTTACTTTGAGCATATTTTGTACTTTTGTTATTTAGATACTTAAATTGTAAAAGGCATTGGTTTAATAGTTCACACTTTAATATAGAAGACTTCAGAACCCTTTCTTAGCTGGAAACATGCCAATTTCACAGGAAGAGTAAAGTCTGGTGTATAAATAAATAAAGAAACCAAACTGGAAACTGTCTTGAGTATCCTATTAGATGACAGTGGGAGAAAACAGGTTAATTTCTACCCCTGTTTATACTTAACATTCACAACATGAAAGTCATGCTATCATCATAATTTGTTATGCAGGGCTCGAAATAGGAAGCAACTATGACCATCAGTTTATTTGTAAATCACAGGATTTCTTTATTAACTTTCATACCTCTGGGACTAGCCTTTAAAAAAGTTGGATATTGTTACCCAAACAAAAAACTATGACCAGTATCTGAAATACAGTTTCTAGCCCTGTATTATTTTTTTGTTATATTTCTTGAAATACAGATATATTTTGTAAAATCAGCGGCTTTTGATAAGTAAGCCTTAAAACTTTTTGAACTTAGACGGAGTGTTTAAAATGAAACACTGTATTCACAGCAATATTTCAAACATCTAGCCATATTGAGAATTCATGTGTGAAAGATGTATATTAACAATATTGCATGTAGCCTGGTAAGAAATTTGAGGGATGTTTCTCCCTTTGTGGGAAGATGCTTATGAATACCGAGGAAATTCCTGCTTCCAAAGAGATATGCACAATGATGCAGAAGTGTCAGATCCTCCCATCATTGAGGCTGACTTGATATGTTACTTTTTGTATTGATACTCTGATGAGATCCTGCTCAGCAGTTGGTTATGTTACTGAAATTGTTATCAAATACATACTCTAAACGTCCTTTTTTTCTTTTTTAATTAAAAAAAGTAAATAATTACTATGTTTTAAATTTCTCAAGAGATATTTTTGTCATCTTTGGGATCATTTAATTTACTGAAATTTAATTGCAAGTCTTACAAGAAGCTGAGCTGGCCAACTAAAGTGTTCATGTTTCACAAAATTGATTCTAAATTTCTTCATAGTTAAGGTAGACAGGCCATGCCAATATATGACTTCAGTGAAATTGATTTTTGTAACTTGTCTGTTATTTTTAAAATATACAGACATACTATGTAGTTCAGGGTAATAGCTGTAGGGTTAGCTTAGCAGAAATTATTTAATCAAACTTGAAATTCTATTCTTGAACAGCTGTTGAGAATTTTTATTTTTGATAATAAAACTTAATTGTTAGTATAGACATAGATATTATTGGAACATATTTTATATATTTATGAGAAAAAATCATGATGTAAAGGCAGCACTTGGACATCCAGTGCTCCTTCATGAAGATAACTACTGCTCAGTACCTTTACAGTAGCTTTTGGATTGACTCGATTGGTTTGATCTTGGAAGACAAAATGGTTTACTGCAGCAGTAAGATTAAGCATCTTTCCATGGACAAACCATTGTTGGAAGGGCATCAATGCAGAAAAATCAGGAAGAATCACAGCCTGTTTTCAGCTATTCATGATATTGCACAATAGTGAAGAAGAATGTGAGGAAGGCAGTCTGGAGGAAAAGAAGGGACTAAATATTTTGACATTAATTTTGTAAAGTTTGTTTCTATGACTTTAATCCCATCGTACATGGTGCTTGGACACTGAACTGCTACTAAGTAAAATATTGTTTTTATAAACCAGATATTATATAAAACAATCTTGCAAAATCCTTCTTAGTGTTTTCCTTGATTGAGTAATATTTTGGTGACAGACAAGTTAAATACGATTCAGTTTATTATCAGTCATTATGGTTAGGGTGGACAAAGTAGAGTTTGCAACTGCATTAGTAAACTTATGATTTTGCAAGGCTGTAGTAAACATTCCTGTGAAGTAGTAAGAGAATAGAATCATAAAATCGTTTTATGAGAAAATACATATATTAGAGTACACTGCTGTGTTAAAGCTGCTTAAAAATAGCTGTATTATTTACTGGTCTAGGAAAAAACATAATGGACTATGGGTAAGACATTTTCCCATTCTTAATTAAACTTACAACAGGAAAAACTACCGAAGATATGTTTCAGCCTCAATCCTATATAAAACAGTCAAAACAGGGATGTGGGAAAATGATGGAGCAAAGCACAGGTAAGTGTCAAGAAGGGCATGGGTCTTCACCATATGTAGTTTCAGGAAGTAGGCCAGTGAATCCAGTTGCATTATATTTTAATATAAGTATAACTTTTTGGATCATGTAGTTCACAATACTACACTACTGCACAAATAAATTTAAAATAATAATGTTGTCATAAGAATATGCTGCGCAAAGTACCTGATGCACAAATTCTGAAATATTCACAGATGTCAGCTATTGTTTTGGAAAAGTAAATATTCTAATAATCAGTGTGACTCAGTTGGAGGCATTCTTCAGCATCCCATAAAAGTAGCAGTATGAGTTTATACGTATGGGGAAAATTGTGCGTTCTCAATTCTCAGTTGCTTCTATCGCTTTCTTTTCAAGAAATTCATTTCATGCTGGATGATTAGTTACTGCTGAAAATAGGTGCTCATTAGTTTTTCTGTGGTAATGTCATAATGCAAGGTAGGATCCATTGTTGCATGTGCTGCTGTAGCATATCTAAGTAGTGTCATCGTGAACTATGCATAAACCATTTAATTTTTTGGTTTTTTTCTGGTTAGGGCCCAACAGGTCAAAGCTGCAAGATATGCTTGCAAACTTGAGAGATGTTGATGATCTCCCTTCGTTACAGCCATCTGTTGCACCTTCTTCTAGGCCCAGTAGCTCAAGGCTCATTGAACATGAGATAAACAGGACGGATGAAGGTAAATATTAAAGATGTGCATAACACCTTAGTAAAGGATGGATGTTTATAGTTCCTTCTTAAAGATTATCCTCTAAGACTTTCCGAGCACTTTACAAATTACGATTCAGCAAATTCCGATTCTGTCTAAGTGCAATAAATGGCATTGCCATTCCTTCTTTCTGGTCCCTATTAGTAAGGTCAAGACACCTACCTAAGGTCAAGTCTTGGTTGAATAACTTTGAACATGATAGAAAAAATAATTTGGCACATGGTGGCTTTGTAATATGACGATCTTAAATCACTTGCTTTTGTTTGTGCTCAAACCTGGTAGCCAAGTGGGGAACATAAACTTTGAGGACATAAGAGCATCTTTTTTTCTCCCCATACACATAATTTTAAATGTATTTATGTATATATACACGCATACATACAAATGTGCTCTTTTTCTTTAAGTGAAAGATAGAGGCTCTGCAGGTAAACACAGGTGGCTAGCTATAGCTTTTAAATGCATGTGGTGATTATGTAGTGAATCATACAGAACAACTTAGAGCTTGCCTCTGTGTTTCTTTCCATAATGTGTTCCAAACATTAAAAAAAATTCTGTGTGGAAGACCACACATCTTTGCAATGAAGCGTGTGGTTATCTTCACTAGTATTATGTCTGAAAAATGCTGAACCATCTATTTGATTCAATATTTGAATGCTATAATATGAAGCATAATAACATATAGTGTATGAGGCTATATTAATTTGTCAAAGATCATATTGCAGCCTTCTAGTGCCTAAAGGGAGCCTACAAGAGATCTGGAGAAGGACTTTTTGCAAGGGCATGTAGTGATAGGACAAGGGGGAGTGGCTTCAAACTGAAAGAGAGCAAGTTTAAATTAGGTATTAGGAAGAAATTCTTTACAGTGAGGGTGGTGAGATGCTGGAACAGATTGCCCAGAGAAGTTATGGATGCCCCATCTCTGGAAGAGTTCAGTTCCAGGCAGGATGGGGCTTTGAGCAATGTGGTCTGATGGAAGGTGTCCCTGTACGTGGGAGGACGGTTGGAACTGGATGATCTTTAAGGTCCCTTCCAACCCAAACCATTCTATGATTCTATGATATCATGTGCCCTATTTAAATGGTAAATACATGTTTTGAAAAATGAGCAAAACATGAGTTCCACTTAGCAGTCTTTCAGTGAGTGTGAAATAGTAGGTCGGCCAAGTTATAATTAAGATGCATAAAAAGTCCCAGCATGTGGCATAGTTACCAAAGATCTCAGTAGTTCTGTTTCTTTCATGCTCAGTGATTTTCTTTATGAAAGAAGGGGGTAACTTAGCAACGCTTGGGGAAGTGGAGGAATTTTTTGTTGAATGTTTCCTTTCCAACTTTTCTCACATGTACTGAGAGCTATGTTAGCAGAGCACTATTTTCATGTCCTTTCAATAATGTGTTTTTTAATTCAGACACTCAAATGCACTCTCACAAAAAAAGAGGAGGACAGCTGATTGTTATCAGTCTGAGTTCAGTATTGCAAACTATGAGCTGTGTATTCCTTTGTAAAACTGAGACATCATGATATTTTTGGCATACAATTTTTTTATTCTAGTAACTTTTCAGATTTGATGTCCTGTATGTATTGTGTATTGAGTGGAATATTTTATCATAAATTCAAAAGAGAAAAAGAGAATGGTAGTGTAGACTTCAGGGTGAAGAAGGTAAGAGATGTTTGTGATTAAAAGGTAATAACTAAGAGACCTGATCGAACAGTAGAGCTTGAAAGGCTTTTATTTGGTTGTAAAAAGTAGTGGAAAGCAAACAACACGCAATAGAGATGTGAATGTGGAATGGAAAGATTAGCTTACTTTATGCTGGGTGAACTGAAGGTGAATTGGATGGCATCTGAACCTGATGCCTTTGGGACAAGAGGGAAGCAGACTGAACAGATCAGGCTATTGATTGTAAACTGCATTTTTCTTGGTTTTAACTTAGTGTCGGTGCTGTTAGACTTAAAAAGATGCTGAGAATGAGGTGGCATTTCCTTCTCTCTCTCTCCCTGATTCCAACAGTATTTGCCAAGGCTTGTATTTACAATGGAGCTAAAAGGGGAAAAGATTGTAATTTATTTAAAAACCCTTGTAATTTGAGACAAAAGGTTTATAAAGATCAGTGAAGTTTCTTGTATCCAGAAGAGAACACATTTTCATCTATTCAGTCCCCCTTTTGTGCTGTATAGGCTTGGAGAACTATTGTACAGGGAACTTGGTAAAGGCACAGCTTTTGAGTTGTACCACTTGATGCAGAGCTTTATATGGTATAAGTGTGTGTGCTGTACTCCTTAGCCTTTGATCTTCCTGTTTCTAGAGAATCTGCCTATGGATGTGTTCATGTTACAGTGATTGGAGCTCCAATAGGCATACTATAGAAGCTGTTAACTAGTAAGTTTGGATACTGCTAGTACAAACATGGAATTCAATGCTGAGTAGCCTGTTTGATAATTAAACTGATTTTACAAGTAGAAATGAACTGTCAGCTTCTGGTCGTATTGTTCGATTGGAGTGCATGTAAACAGCATCATTGTGGACGTGCTTTTGGATGTGTGTGGATACCGTTTTAGGAAGGTGTGGATACCATGGTAGGAAGGAAGAGTCCAACTGCTCCCACCAGCTATTCTTATATGCTTTTTTGTTGCTTCTTCAACGCCTATTTGCATATTTTGTGGCAGAGTTGGGGAAGGGTCTGAGCTGTTCTGTGTTACTTGTGCATTATTTATGGGTGAATGGTAGTGTCCTCTTCCCGCCTGTGGCTAGTTGCACTTACTGAGTCATGCACACCTCAAGTGCAAGTATGTTCAGAGGATGCTGTTTATTGGTAAGTACAGTGATTATCTTTAGAACAGCTATTTTTTTATGCATCTCTGTATATCTTTTTTCCCCTCAGCTACTTGTAAGATGTTTAGCATTTTGAAAGTGGAAAATCTACTTTTGTTATTCAATGTTGTATAAACCCAAGTTTCAAGATTTTTTTTTGTTTTGTTTTGGTTTCTTGCAGTGGAAGCTTTAACATTCCCTCCTTCTTCAGGGAAATCTTTCATTATGGGAACAGATGAAGCCCTTGAAAATGAGCTGGGTCTTGGAGAACTGGCAGGCCTTACTGTAGCAAATGAGGCAGATTCGCTGACTTATGATGTAAGTGGTTATTATTGGTAACTCAAGGTCTTACTGTCTTTTTGTTGAAGGCGGATGCAAGTTACATGTGTGTAGACTCAGCAGAAAACATTCTCCAGATGAAATTATGCTGCCAGAGGTTGTCACAAATTTTTACTTGATAAAATTGTTTTTCCCATACACAGCAGCCTTCAAGCTCTCTGCAAGCCCCACTCCTTCTCACTTGTCTGCCATGTCATGCGAGTAGTTGAAAGTAAACGTAATTAGTTATAGTGATACATGTGGGTGTGTGTAACCCCAGTGACTGAGCAAAATTAGGAGCTGTACGGCCAGTAGATTGAGGGAAGTTTATGTCCCTTCTGCTTGGTCTGCATGGAGTTTTGGGCCCCTCCACTTCAAGAGGGTTTTAGAGAAATTGTAGAGAGTCCAGTAGCATGTGACTGATGAGTAGATGTTAAAGGAGCTACTCTTGTTCAGCTCTTAGGAGGCTGAGGGGTGCTCAAATAGCAGTCTGCAGGTATTGAAAGGATGCTTATAACGATGACAGAGCCAAGCTTCTCCATAGTGCCAGGCATTAAAAGAAGAGGAAACAATAGCAAATTCTGGCTTGGGAGGTTCAGGTAAGACACTGGGGGAGAAAGTGTTATGTAGGAGGTGACAGTGAAACAACTGGCCCAGAGACACAGTGGAATCCCTCTCCTGGGAGATGTTCAAGACTTGGCTGGGGTAGACCTGTGGTTTACATTAGCTGGTGTGGGCAGTAGTCTCATTTCAAATGGGAAAATGGACCAGAGACTGTTTAGGAGGGTTTTGTGGCCAGCACTTCTGTGGCTATATATGTAGCCTACGGCTTGTTTTTCTTTCACTTTTTATGAAAAACTTTCCTTAAAATTGCTTCTTTTCAGTCATACATAATTTTTGTCTGTATTTCTGATTTCTTGGGAAAAGATACTTCAGGTATTACTTTACTAATGTGCTCCTTGTGATCTGTCAGCTTCGGATCAATCCTGCTATTGTATTGCCCAGCTCTGTCAAGGTTGAGGGATTTCAGAGATCGTTTTCAGTATTGTGTGTTGGTGAAGAATCCTACCTTTCAGTAAATCTGACCCTTAAGTAATCACCATCTGGGATTATACTATCACAAGTCAAGTCTGAGACTCCAGAAATAACCTGCGGGTCCTTACTTTGAAGTTCTACCCTTGTGTGTACTTGTAAAGCAATAAATTATAAAATTAATAAAATTTTAGACACATTTTGAGAGTGCTATTGCAGAGATATGCTCTACTACTATAGCAAGTTTGTGAGCATGTGATGTGTTGTGAATCATCTCGATTGCAATAATACAGAACATTTCTGCTAAAATTCAGTATTTCAGCATTATCTCCTATTTTGGGCTCAGTTCTTAATTTTTTTGCTCATCTTCTCTAATTATGCTTTCAGAAAGGGTTAAGATGGTGTACAAATTAATTGCTTTTACAGGTACACCTAAAACTTAGATGCTGAATTTTTAAATTCAGAGGACATAACAAACCTAAACCATCTGAATGAGATGGTAATGCTTTCATTGCTTGACTTCACTGTTCAAGTGTCCATATAAACTGTTTTGTTTGTTCATGTCTCCGTATCCTGAATTAACAGCTTTCATTTATGGAATTCAGCATTTCTTTAGCCACTCCTATCCTATCCTGCATGGTCGAGAGTACTAACATCTGTTCGTTCATTTGTTAAATGCCTTTATGGAGTTCTATGATCAGGAATTCATAGTCATGCTTACCTCAACTCTTACCTTTTTTTAGTGCTGATGATTAAAAAAACCCCACAATATTTACAAAGCTACTCACTATTGTCACTGTGCACTTCACTGAAGCAAAATGAAAGCCTGGTTTTTCTATTTCAAGTTTCACTGGAAGTTTAGCTTACAGATAATGTTTCTGTTTTGACCTATTTCATATCTTCTTCCAGCTGCCAAGTGGGAATCAGGAAGGATTAGTGAAAATGTAGTGTATTATTTTTAAGTGTCAATTTTGAATCATATGGAGAATAAAGTTGAAAGACAATGTACATCTGTCTTTAAATATATTTGCTCTCAAGAGCTGCAGGCATTTTCCCATTTTCAGTCCCTTTCATCCCACTGACATTTTTACTAGATTCTTTTTTCTAAAACATGGCAGCATTAGCCTACCTCATTTCATGGTTTCAGTTTCTACATATTGGTTTGACTGTCTATAAGTTAAAGAATGGTTTTCACTCGGTAATGAATATTATGAATTTATTACTTGAAAGAGAAATTTCTTCTTCTATGAGTACATTTTTAGAATATCTAACAAGGTGATATTTTCCAGATTGCTAGCCGATAATCAGAAGTTTATCTTTTCTTTTTCCTTGCTTTACACATTGTTATCTTAGCACTGGTCTTTCACTTCAGTTGGTTCTGGTTTTTTATGTAGTCTTCTGGATAGATTAAGCAGCTTCATAAGATTATAATAGAGGTTTTGGACTTTGCAGTAGTCTCTTGCTTGATTTCCTACAACTTTGAATGAGAGAAGTGTCTGGAACCCTACTTGCATGTCATTGCTGTTTCTGGACTTTTTGATTTGTCTGTGTAGATGCAAATATTATTATTAGTGGCAAATCCTGATCAGGTGCTAATTTTGGGGTTGAACATCCCCCCAAACTGCTTGTCACAGTTGCATTTCAGTGGGGAAAGATAGAAGGAGCTTGGCTGTTGTGTTTACTAACCAAGCCTCTCACAGCTTGAGAGAGACTGGTGGGTGGAGTGATGTCGTGCAGCGAGTTAAGTGGTGCATCAGAGCTAGAACCTGTTTCCTCTGCTGCTGGTCTACTGGCTGGGACTGCCCTCCATCTAAGTCCCTCCGTTCTGCTTCCCAATTTATAAGTTAATCATCTTGGACTCCTTTGGAAGGGCACCTTTGACTAAATGAGAAGCAAATGAAGACTATTACCCTACCAGAACTGGAATTCACTGTTAGGCCATCTGAGGTGTCTTCGTGGCTTTTGCAGATGTGATGCAGGACCTGTGCTGCTGGTATGGCAGCTGGAGGGCAGGCGGGTTCCCTTCGTCACCTGTTTGGCATTGAGTGCCTGTGTTGAGGCAACCAAATTCCTCTCCAGATATCTGTGAATACTCTGTACATCTTGTACCCTTTTTGCTGAGGCTTTCTTGGCCAATCTCCAGAAAACCTGCCAGAGCTGCTAACTGTGCAGTCCTGCCCCATCCTTGTACCAGCTCGAGCATTTGTCTGTTCCCTCATTGAGCCAACTTGGCTCAGTAAACTGGCAAAGAAACTGACTTGTCTCCCCAAGCAAGGCAGTGTATAATTATTAAGAAATACCAAAAGAAAGACTAAGCCTGCATTTGTTACAGCTCCTTTGTCCTGGTTTAAAATGTACAGAACTTCTTAATTGATGCATTTTTTTATTATTAAATCCAGATGTAACAAAACCTAAGAAAAAGCACTTCTGTTCTTAAAACTCCTCTTCCTTCCTCCACTGCCTACAATAAAATGTAGATTCTTGGAGAAGCTCAAAACAGTTGTCTCTTCTTTGCACTTAAAGATATAAATTATTTCGGATTATCTGTAGATTTCAACATAATAAAATATCAGTACAATTGCTTATTTTCTTGGTTTTCCATAACCATAGTGGTTATGGAAAGGTAAATTTAGCTTGTGGCATTGTTGACTGACAGAGTGAAAAAGTCTGTTCAGCATTTTGTGTCAGCATTTGTTCAGAGGAGCAATATTGGAGTAATTGTTATTTTTTTAAAAGGCTTTCTTTTTGGATCTTCTAAAATGCATTTATTGCCAAATAATTGTGTCTGTATACATGATAGCTTATCACTTGCCAGTTATATTCTTAGTATGTAGCCAAGTCTTTTTTGCCTTTTTTTTTTTTTTTTTTCATTTTCTGGCAACCTTTACTTGTCTTGCATTATTACAGAGCTTGAGTTGCCTTAGATGAGTAAGTTAGGTTGTGTTCCTTTCTGTGCTTCTAGAATCTTCTGTTTCTCTCAGCTCTTTACTTCAGAGGTGCCATGTCAGTTGTATTTTGGATATTCAGGGACCGCCGGTTGCTTGAGTCAAGCCCAGTGTTAAAGTGAATGAGCTAGTAGGTACAGATCAAATTTCAAACACCTAGCTGATTTCATTTAAGTATCAGTGCTTTTAAATTGTGTAATTTTACAGACATGGCAGTATTTCGGATTTTCATGGAAAGTATTACTGTGGACGTGACATTACTTGTTGTATGGAATACATCTACCTTCATTCTCATTTTGAATTATCTGGTTAGTGTTAAGTGGTCTGTTTTTCAAGAGCAGGTTGTTTCGAAAAGTGGAAGAGGTAATTTCACATCTTCTGAAAATGCCAAACTAAATTTCTAATGTCTTCCTTTTGTTGTGGCTTCCAGATTAATTACAAGTTTGGCATTTTTTTTTATTAGATAGCCAACAATAAGGATGCATTGAGAAAGACTTGGAACCCCAAATTTACATTAAGAAGTCACTTTGATGGAATAAGAGGTCTCGCTTTTCATCCGGTTGAACCAGTCTTAATAACAGCTTCAGAGGACCATACTTTAAAAATGTGGAATTTACAAAAAACAGCCCCAGCAAAAAAGTAAGATTTTTTTTTTTTTGCTTTGCTTCAAGAACAGTTTTAATATATGAAGAAAAAAGATAATTGTAGATACCACTTCACGGGATGGCCCTTGGAGTTCATGGAAAGTGTTCCTTGACTTTAAGAGTAGGAAAACAAGCTCATAGAGTAGCATGGAGACTTCTGAAGAGTGCCAGAAGAAATCCATGTGTGTTCCTGAGTGTAATTTGTTTGTGAGAAGGAAAACCATTCACATTTTTATATTTTCCTTGCAGATAACATGACAAATTAATTTACTAGTGAAAATATTTGGATGCAGCCTGTTAGTGTGCTTGCATGTGGATATAAATGTATAAGATGCATTTTTATATATATGCATATGTATGTATACACATACATGCATATACATGTGTACAGCTTTAAACTTAGAGATGTTGCCTTTGTACACTGTCTCTTGTGAGTTGCTGGTGATTTGCAGAAATGAGAGCAATTTGGTAGCAGGGCTAATAATGGTAATGGTAAGGGAGTACGTCAGACCTTTGAGGAGGACTGGGCATAACATGGGGTCTTCCCTCAGTCTGTAACAAACACTGGATTGATAAAGTCCAGAGCAGCAAATTTTGGAGTGGTTTGTCACTGTGCTACAGCCTTGATATAAAAACAAGGAGTCAAAAACTCCTTTGCTCTAATAGGGGTTTGGAGCACTTAATGATATATTCCATGTGATACTGATGTCTCTCCACTCCTTCCCCACCACTGGTGTAGCTACCTACTGACTTGATTGATCTGTGAGAGTTTGTGAACTACCTTGAAGGTCTTTAAACTGAAAAAACAAACCAAACAACAAATCCTGCATATGAAAGATTGCAAATAGTTCCTAGATGTGAAAAATTGTGTTGAAAGTTGTGGGGGAAACACTGCAAAAGACGTAACAGTGATTTTAAGAATTTTACACGTTTTTGTAAAGCATTGTGTAAGATCATATACATGTTAACATTTCCTTTTACTTCATTTAGGAGTGCTTCTCTTGATGTAGAGCCAATATACACCTTCAGAGCACATAAGTAAGTATTTCCTGGGAAATATTGTCATATTTTGAGAAAGATATGATTTTTAAACAAAACCAGAATTTTTTAAAAAGGTAATTTCCACCTTATCAGCTACTGATTTCTTTAGTTGTGATGTCTTTAGTTCCCATTTTATTTAAAATATCTGCATGTGTCCATCTCCTTTCTGCGTAATTATTTATGTCTGAAGCTGGGTAGACCACAATTTTAAAATTAAAAACCTACAAATTATACAGTTCCAATTTGATTATTGCAGCTCTTGCCTTTTTGTCAGATGTGTGCATGTGTAGAAGGAAGCTGAAGAAGAATGAATGCAGTGAATTTAAATCTACTGAAATTATTTAATGATTATATTGTTCTGATTGTAGTTACGTTACCAAATATTGTAGAGGTTTTTTTGTGGGAAGTGTTGTAGCTTATGATTTCATTATGCGGAATTTTTGTTGCAATGTGTGTAGCAAGTGAATTGTATCTAGCAGGAAAATTTGAAGATTCTGTTGACATTGCATTTCACATAAGGAAAATGTTAATATTAAATGTTTCTTTGGGGGTTTCTTCCAGTGGACCAGTGCTCTGTGTGGTGATGAGCAGTAACGGTGAACAGTGTTACAGTGGGGGAACGGATGGCCTTATCCATGGCTGGAACACAACCAACCCGAACATTGACCCCTATGACTCTTATGGTATGTTGCTGTCAAACACACCAGTGAGATGATTGTTTAGTGACACTAATGTTTTTTGTTAAAATAGGATACTTTGTAGATAATGCTTATTTGAAAGTTTAAAAAAGCAAATCAAATGTTAGCTTCAATTGCTTAAAGTAAATTTTTGGTTTAATGTTGATGCTGGTTGATGAGAACATAAAATGTCTTAAAATTTCTTAAATTTTAAATGTCTTAAATTTTCTTTAAAAAGACTTCAATTTCATCACAGTTTTGAGAAACAGCTAGATTCAAAAAGTCCAGGACTAAACCTGATAATTTGGCAAGTACAGCAAATGTGTATTTTAGTGTTCTTTTCTTTGATGAATTTCTGTGTAGGTAGATAAAGAGATTTAATGGTCAGAGACCAAAGCTGTTAATGTTGTCTTCAAATACGTAAAAAGGCCCAGTTCAGTAAGATTTACCAGATCTGAATGGATGTCAGTCTTGTTTCTGGATTTTAAATTTATTGTTTACTTCTTTAGCTTCTTATGCAGTTGGCCTCCAAAACTGACTTTTGCATAAAAGGGACTGATGTACCGTTAATGGCTGCTTGAAAGTGAAACAAACTGAAGTGTGTTTATCCCATTTCTATAATGTCCCTTCTGCTGAAATGTTGTTTTGTTCCTTTAGTTGCAAACTGGGTAACTGAATATCATGTATGCTGATGAAATTCAAGCATCTTAATACCAGAATAATTGAGACTTGTATATTAGTATGACATGATTGGCTTGGGTTTTTTTTTATGGATTAGCTCCTTAAGGTTGGTGCATAAACACAGATGAAGATACAGCTATTGATGTAATTAAAATTTAGTTTTGAAATGTGTTTTGTTGTGCTTTGTTCACAGATCCTTCTGTTCTAAGAGGTGCTTTTGTAGGCCATACTGATGCAGTGTGGGGTCTGGTTTACAGTGGAGCGCACCAGCGATTGCTGTCCTGTTCAGCAGACGGCACTATACGTTTATGGAAAGCTACAGAAATTGCTCCAGCTCTCAATATATTTAATGATAATCAAGGTACAGAAAATTGCCCTAAAAGTTCGTGAACATCCCTGTTCAGACTGACATAATTTTGGTTACTGAATAGAAATACTTCTTGCTTTTTTTGCTGGATTTTATATACTTATGAATGATAGGGGAAGAGTAAATTTTGGGACCCTTCTTTTTTGATGCTAGCTGAATATATACCTACGTGCAAGGGGACAGTCACATACATCTAAAAGCCAACTGCTTTAGATGATCTGCTGATGTTACTAGCACCATGGAGTATAATGTATCAGCTCCATAATTCAGGTTCAAACTGAATTTCCATTAGGCGTGTGCTTTTGGTTTTTCCAAAATAAAAAGCCCTTTCTTCCCCTAATAGAAATTTGGAATAGCCAGTGCTTCATCTCAGGTCAGTGTCATTGTACCTTCCAGAATTGTTCCTTGTGCCTCTAGCACAGAGATTCCAGTTGAATTTCTGAGTTTGCACATTAACTAAATAGATAGCCTATTGATCCTAAACACTGCTAGTTGAAATAATGTTAATCTTTGGATTTAGTTACAGAAATGTCTTGCACAAATCAAAATCCCACTATTTAGAGTCTAATTTCTTGAAGTTGCTGTCTAAGTGGTCCAGAATGAGCCCACTGATGTTGCCAAGTTCTCTTAGAGTTGATTGTCCTAAAGACAGCCCATGAGCTGTGAAAGTTCCTTGGCTCTTCATAAAGACTTTGAGGCAAAATAAACTTCAGCATAACTCAACAGTCTTATCAAGTTATGGTATAAAGCTGGTCAGATATACCATTACTTGTTATGCTATACTGAGCAAAATAAAAAATGTTTCACGTATTTTAGTTTTTGCAAAAATATGTTTCCAAAGGTCTGCAGGATTCTACGAGAAACATAACTGGCTTATTGCCAGCTTATTGCCTATCTGCCTACTTTGAAAACTTCCTAGTAACTGTTGGGTATTTTGGGGAGTTGTTTTGTTTTTAATTATTAAATTAAGGGAGAGGAAGGACTAGTCTCGCCAAAGTTGTGAAATTCAAAGATCCTCCTTTGAAACCCAGTTTTCATATGGCTTATTGATAACCTTGAACAAACCCTCTAAAATATCTGGCACTCATCGTTTAAGTCCTTTAGATTAACCATTGTAGGCCTCCCAAGAAGCTGCAGATCAGCATCCAGTGGCAGTGGTAGAAAAGGTCACTTCAGAAACAATGTGTTTTCTTCTCACTCCAATCCTTTTTTTGCTCTTTTTGGAGTACCTCTAGATAAGTACCACCATTCCTTAGAAATATTCCAGAGGTCCTGTGTCCAAAAAAGATGTTTCTCCCATGAATCTTTAGAGAGTTTAGAGAGACATGATGATATTCCTGTGTTATCTGAATCCATAACATTAGTTTGCTTAAAATTCGGTGTCTCACTCTCTATCTTTTCCTCCTCCTCCTGGCATCTGTTGCTACCGGTGTTGTTCTTTCACATAGCAGGTGGTGAACAGGACATTTGAGGAGAAAAATCCCAAGGGATATATCCTATACCCAAGCTTTGCTGATTTGACCTTCTGTCCGGTAGTGTTCAGATAGCTACAGTGTAAGGAGGTCAGATATAGACCACAATAGGCAGGATAGACAAAGCTTTGAAATATGAATTTATAATGTATTTCTATAACTTCCTATGATGACAGTGTCAGGGTATAAAATTTGCACCTTGAGAACTTTGGTGGATTTTTTAAGCTCTGATTTTACCCAAGTTAATAATAATAATAATAATTTTAATAATCTATTATGTCAGTGGTTTTACCATTTCAATTTCATGTCATTTTACTTGGGGCAATGGAGTCGTTTTATGTTTTTTGAGAATTGCTGTTACACTTAAAGGAAGGAAAAGGGGCTAGGGAATTCTTACTTTCTTAATTTCAAAGTAGATTTCTGCCCAGGTGCAGTTCCAGATACAGGATCTTAGTAAAGAATGTTGTTGATACACATCAAAAAAAAGTAGGATTAAAATAGTGATAATACTGGGCAACCTATTTAGATTGGCATAATGTATGTTTTCAAATGCAATATTTCCTTTCATAATCATGGTCCTTTAGATGTTAAAGTGGTTACTAATTGGGGGTTTTTGTTTGGTTTTTTTGTTTACTTTATACCAACTAAATCACTGCGTTGTTTTCTAGAAATGGGAATCCCTTCCTCAGTAGATCTTGTGAGCAGTGATCCAAGCCTCATGGTAGCATCATTTAACAGTGGACACACTAGCATTTTTAACATGGAGACACGGCAACGAATTCTTACCCTGGAGTCCAGTGTGGATACAAGTATGTATCAAAAAACCCCAAATTGCCCAAAGGAAAAAAAAATTGCTTCTTTAAGATCGATACTGTTGATAATCTTTTCGGTGTTTCCAAACAGGCAGTGTCATGAGAAATTATAACATGAATTTTGTTACAAGCTGTGTTTTGAGATGTAATAGTAAATTGTTATTACTACAACAGACCTTGTGGGTATTTCAGTAGCAGAAGAGTGCATGTGCTTTTGAAATAAGGTAGAAGAAACAAGATCACACTGAATTGCTTTTCAAAAGACAGTAGCACAAAGAAAAACACAGGTTTCTCTAGTACAGCTCAGTGGTCTTTGCAGTTTCAAGATTTCTTTTTCCTCTTCAGTACAAAATTGCAAAATAGAGGTAATATCAGGAAAATTTAAAGTTGAGTTTATCAAAAATTCAGGAGTGTGTGTGGATTCTTTTTTATTTTTCCTCAGAGGTATCCCTTTTCAAAGATTTCTTACGCTCTTGGCTCATTTGGACTTGGGCTGTAGTTGAAGTTTTCACTGCAGGAGAAAAGCAAAACTCCAATGGAAGAGTATTCATTGACAAGGTCCTGTATAGTGCCTTGGATCATGGCAATGGCCAATATGAGAAGTTTTAGAGGATACTGTGAGGAGCCTGCTATCAGTAAATTATTTTACCCTGGCATTAGAAAAGAGACCAAAGGTTTAATATTCAAGCCATGATGGTAACTTGATAACAATATAATTTTTTTTAATTTTATTTTTATATTCCCCCCACATACTCACACTCCTTAAAGTGAATTCTGCTGTTAATTAGGTTTTTTAAAAGGACTAAGCCCTTCTTGTTGGCTTTGCTTGTCTGTTTTAAACTAGTTAGATGCCTGTCATTTTATCAGATGGAATGGAAAGTGCCGTCTCCCTTCTTTATGGTATTCCTTACTGTGCAGGATTTCTTCTTTTAACTCACACCTTTGTTCCTATCTGAAAAAACAGTCCTAAATTAGTTGAGTCAGTAGAAGTTACCTTTCTGCTTCTCTCTTCCTTCCCCCTTTTATTTTTTTTTACCTCCTCCTTGCTGTAATTCAGTAATGTTCCTTTAAGAAAACAAGACCGTGATATGGCAGCCAGCAGTCCCCATTTAGTATCTTTAGTTATGTAATAGTACTATAAAGCTTACAAGTATTTTAAAGAAGTAAATTACTATTTCTACAAGAACTAGGCAAGAGGAAAATGAGTCACCTGAAATGCCCTACCACCACTGTGTAGGGACTCCGCTGAGTATAAGCCTCACTTTGCTTGTCATTTTCAAACTGTGAGGATAGATGGCTGTGATGAATGTTCATGTGCTTTCAGTTATTTTAGGGGGGTTTATTCATATGAATGTGGTTTTCTTGCTTAATTTAGACTTTAATAATTTCCAAGTGTTCCATGGATGCTGACAAGGCTTGATGGTTCAGATTTTTATAGAAATATGTAAATTGAAGTTTTTACCACTTTAATAGCAAGTGATCCTATAGTAGTATTCTATTTTGTTTGTTTTAGTAAGAATTTTGATTAAATAATGTGTTCTTTGGAAGCAGTTTAACTAAATACAGTCAACATGAAAGATAATACCTGTATTTTGATGTACTGTGGAGTGACTGGTTTTGGTTTTATCATAATTTATGCCTCTTAAGACCACCTTTGCACTAATCTGTGCATCACAACAATGCCTAGATTTCTAATCAGAAAACTTCTATACTTTTTTTTTTGTTTGTGTGTGTGTATATATATATCCATGCTGTTTCAAAATTATTGAAGAATAGGAAAATGACTCTCCTATGAATAGTCTAGCATCCTTTTTTTCCCCAATAATCATAATTTTAATCCATATATATCAAATAATAATGGATGCGGTTTATTTGCTTGAAATAAACTGCCTGTACTGTCTGTATGTCATGAAGCAAGTTTTACTTGGCAGGAGGAGGAATGTGGCAGTGGGGAAGTGCAAAAAAAGGTGTTTTCACTCAGTTTTTGGTTTCACATTTTTGCCTGACGTGTCTACCTAAAACTATGTCCAAAGGTTGGACCTTATTTGGCATACATATGGTTTATGTATGCCTCTGTGCCTGTGTAATTTGGAAAGTATTTTAGAGTAAACCATATAAAATAAGATGCTAGCTGAGAGTTTCCAGTACATAAATGTAAGAATTATTTTGCAGATAAAATGGATTACATGTTTATTTCTTGGTAGCAATCTTTCAAATAATTTAGAAATTGACATATATGATATGTGTTGTTTTTTTTAAGCAATCAGTTCCTCCTGTCAGATAAATAGAGTCATCAGCCATCCAACTCTTCCAATTAGTATCACTGCTCATGAAGACAGACACATCAAATTCTATGACAACAATACAGGTATGCTTCTCTTCAGCAGGTCTTAGGTATAGCCATTGTATAATGTAAATCATAACCAGAATTTCATTAAGATTAATATTATTCTCATAATATTATGAGGGATGTCAAGAACTGGATAGCCTCTGAAACAGAAATCTCTCATCACCAGTAGGTCCCAAAGATTGCCAGCCCACTTAAAACTTTGTTGGCACAGTGATAAGGAACCTGCATAATTTTCTGTCCCTTCTTATAAAATACCTTACTTATGGGGTTTATAAATATTTAACATAAAAGGAAGCTTTTTCAAAATCTTTATGGGCTTATGTCTATGTTTCTTCTATTGGTTGTCTGTGTTATTTTGATCTGGAGAACAGGAAGCTCTGGCACTCTAGTGCTTCCTAGACCTCTGCTGGACTTTACCCATGATTTCTTATTTTTAATGTGAAATCATTACTGTAATTGCAATAAACTGTAATAGAACAATAATTCTCTCTGAGTTGACTAAAATCATCCCATATTCTTATGTAGTTTATATTCATTGCTTTTAGTATACTCAGCCCCTGGTTTCCTTCCCATTCTAGATCTCACTTCAGAACTCAATTCAGTTAAGAGGCAGTTATTTAAAATGCAGTGATTGCAGCACCAGGGTGGCTTTGCAGACATAAAACGAAGGTCTCACAATGTTGATGACACTGCTACTGTGCCTCTCTGGAGACTGTAAATTTAAAAGAATGACTTGTATAATTTTAATGATTCAGTCATGGGTTTTCTATTTATAGTGTCAGCTGTGGTAGGGTCATAAGCAGTGAATACAAATAACAAAGTTAATTGCAGAAAATAACATAAATAACTCTTTTCTTTCAAAGGAAAACTGATCCACTCCATGGTAGCTCACTTAGATGCAGTTACAAGTTTAGCTGTTGATCCTAATGGCTTGTATTTGATGTCTGGCAGTAAGTACATTCAGATTTCATTTCTTTTTCTCATAATGGTGGCAGGCATAAGAATTGTAAAGAGAACTGTTTCCCCTTTCTTTAGGTCATGACTGCTCAATTCGTTTGTGGAATCTTGAAAGCAAGACCTGCATCCAAGAATTTACTGCTCATCGCAAAAAATTTGATGAGTCCATTCATGATGTGGCATTCCACCCCTCCAAATGTTATATTGCCAGTGCAGGAGCTGATGCCCTGGCTAAAGTGTTTGTATGACAGAGTGCTTCCTGTTCAACTTTAGCTTTGTATATATTTAACCAGCTGCACAAAGAGAAGAGGAGGGCATGAGTTGTTTTATCTTGCCCTGTAATTCAGAGAATGTTTGTAAGTGTTTAGTTTTGCAGGGTGCTGTTTTCTAAATTGACATTTGCTCTGATTTCTGTGAGCTCAGCTGGTGCTGAGAGCTTGGAATCTCTCAGTTTCACATAGTTTAAAAAAAATAAAAAATAAATGCTTTTATTGTAGAGGGTGTGAATTTTCGTCCAGGCAGGCCTTGGGTGAAACTAGGTCTACGTATTCTCTATTAATAAAATGGGAGTACTGGAAAGAAGGGGTCTAATTGCATCAGGGAGTAGGAAAAGAGGGAAACTTCCTAGGATGCTTCTCATTGAGGAATCTTAATGTTAAATCACCTGGAAAAAGTGATTCAGAGTCAGTTCACATGCTCATTACTGTACCACGTGAGAGGCACTTTGTCATCTCTTTGATATGAATAAAGTAGATCTTGTTCAGAGAGCAGTAGCGGATTGTTAATCTCAGCCTAATGTGGTTGCTAGCCTAAGGTAAATGCAATTAAAGGAAAGCAGATTACTAACATAAATTAAAATGCAGCAAAGTTTCTGTTACATCTTCTGTGTTATACAGTAAACATTTAGTTTGCAAAAAAATTTATATAATTTTTAAAGACTGTATTAGCATATGGCTAGAAGCTGAGCCTTTACTCTAAGTCCCAATAAACAACAGACTGAAGCAGTCTGTATATATTGTAGTAGCGATCTTAACTTATTCAATGCTGTTTATTCTTGGAGATCTGGCACAAGAAATTATCCTAAAGCTTTCCAAAGAAGCTGTTGTACAATTTAGTTATCAAACATTCATCTCCTCTTCCTGTTTCTGCTAAAAAGGGTATCATTCTGGGCATTAAAAGATAACATGAAATACTTTTTTTGAAGATTAAATTTATACCTTTGTATGAGTCCTGCTAGTGGAATAGGTGGGAACTATACAAAACTCCATCAGTCTGAGAGATTCTGCTACTTCTAGAGGTATTTCCCAGCTTCACCTTTTGTGGGACTTTCTAACTTGTCCACTTTGCTGGGTGTATGGTGCCATTGATTAGGTTACCTGAAGAATGAGTGCTTCTTGTAACTGCTCAACAGATGTGCTTTGTTTATCTATTCAGAGCTTCTCTGTTGACTTGAATGACAAATAACTTTTAATCCAATCTTTTAGTCTTTTTATACCTTCTTAAAGGAAGGTGAGTGGATTCTTTTCTATTATGTGTCATCATCAGAGTTATTACTGTTCATAAGCATGAAATTGGTCTTTTCCTCTAATGGGAATGGAAAGCAGAATTTCTGCTGGAGATGATTTCTGATGCTGATGTGAGTAGGAAAGAACCCAATGCAACTCTTCATATACCAGCCTGAGGTTAAGACTGGAAACTGGTAAATAAATCTTTACCTTTAAACTGACACTTTGTAAACAGAAGTCATTGAAAAATATCAAAATAGGGTTTGACTGTTGCTTTTAGATGGCATTAGGGGATGGGACCACATTTGAAGCTGATCTCAGAGTTTAAATCAAGTATATTATTTAGGTAAAAGGTTGACCCATGTACTGTTTGAGCCTGCAACACGTTATATGTACTGCTAAAATATCCTGGAATACCTTTTATTGCTCAGAATATTCAGATATGTCACTTCATGATATTGATATGTAATATATTTCCATAGATAAGATTAGAACTTTTACCATAAAACAGATGACTACAATAATAATACAGATTATTTAGTTTTTATAAAATGTTTTGGTTATGATGGAAAGGGGGAAACTTGGCTGCAAAACTGAGCATTCAACTTTGTGAGAATTCTGTGTACTTGACTCATATTCTTTCAGTGTCATTATTTTATTTCTTTTTGAAGAGAAAATTACAAAGATTTATTTGAAAAATTCTAAAAGTTATGTATATTATATATGTGTATATATATTGTAAACATGTATTAAATGTGTCTAGTAAGGGAAGACTCCATGGGTGCATTTTAATGTTTTAGTATTAAGAGTTCTCTTGAGTTTGTGTATACAGAGGATAATGGTGTGAGTATGAAATGAATGTTGTGCTTTTGCTTACACAGTACAATATGTAGTCACAGTTGTTTAAATTGCTGTACATAAAAACTAGTAGGCCAGCATGCTTGTTTTTAAAGACTGTCATTCTGATTACAATTGGAATGTAAGACGTGGCTGTTCAAATGTGAATTGAAAGATGTTTCCTTCTCGCTATTGAGCTCTTGCTCAGACTGAAAAGTGATTTTTTTTAAAAGCTGACAATAGCTAGAGGATGAGGTGCCTTTAAAAAAAACAGAAACAAAACAAATGTAGCCTTACAAAGAGGTTGTGGAGTATATATATTTTTGTGCTTGTCTTCATAATTGATGTCAATGTCTTTTTACTGAACTTGCTCACATACTTGTAGGACTGCAGGGTATTGTGCATGAGCCTGTCAGATCTTCTGAACGTCATCATAGGAGATAGGGTTGAAAAAATTATTTAGGTTATCTAGTCCATCTGCTTGCAAAAGCAGGGTTGTAGACTTGTGAGTTTTAATATTGTCTTGGCCAGTGAGATTTTATATATGTTCTAAACAATTAGGCTTCCTTTGGAAGATTATTTCAATGATTACATCTCACTGACAGGAGGATTTACTTGATATTTAGTAGCTCTTTTTTGTAATTTCATGCCAGTATTCCAAGCCTTGTTTTGTACCATTTTGCATATTCCTCATGGTCTTTGTCATTTGGAACCCGCATGCACACACTGGTTCTATCTGTATACTTCCATTCCTTTCTGCTTTCTTCATGCTATTTTTTACACAACTTTTTCTTGTTTTCAGCTTTTAGCTCAGTTCTCCATATCTTGGTGTCCATACTACCATTCCACATGCATGATTTGTTGGACTTAGTCTGAAGGTCATCTCATAAGTGTGGTTGTTGTTTGGTAGGGTTTATCCTCTGTAACGTGATGCTTTTGTGTAGGAAGACCAAAATTCTGTCGTCTCCCAAACCCAAATTGTGTTTCTTTATTTCTCACAACTGCTTTAAATAACTTTGAGCATTGCTGCTTTTTGAGTTTCTTCTTCACTTTCAATATGTTGTTATGAACCTTTTGGAGCTAGAGACTTAATTCCTGTTTCATGATTATCTTGGGTCTTACACACTTTGAACTTCTGACCCCTGAGGGCACTAAATTATTTTTATTTGTTCCCCTTTTGTGTGCCCTCCTTCCTGGTTCAATGTAATTGGTAACTTTCATTAATGTGATACATACTTTAATTGAAAGTGTAAACAAAACTGGACCTTAGGCTTATTCTTGCAAAAAACATTTTTCTGCAACATCAGTATATAGTGTTTTACCATTGCTATTTTTCCCATATCTAATTCACATGGTAAATTCTTTTAATGGTTAACTCATATAATTTTTTGTGTATGTTAGCCTGTGCTACTGATTTTGGTTTTACTAACTGATTTAATGGAGAATTTTCAGTTCTTCTGTATATTGAAAGTTGGTCTGCTAGTTTTAAATACTCTCACTTTTAATTTACTTCACTGTGCTGTTTGCTTTCACATATTACCAAAATGCCTGCTCAGAATGATTTGGAGTAGCCTGGAAGAAGCTTTAGATATATTGTGTCACTCTTACAAAGTTCTGGTGTCTGCATTTATTTTTGTGCCTCAAAGAGAAAACTTTTGACATACCACATAAGCGATTTTATTACTTTTAAAAGAATCACCTGATGAATATTTTGGAATCTCATTTGTCTTTATTTTGATAAAATATGTTCTTTAGCAAGAAGCCTGTAGAACTATATGCCACATACTGTGGATTTTTTTTTAGGATGTAATGTTAGGTTAAAGCAGTTCCATATGCAATGTGATTGAGTAAGTGTGTGGTGTTCGCCATACAGCTTTGTGATTAGGTCATACAACACCATTTTTCAGTTGTGAATTTAAAGTAACCAGAAACTTGTCCTTTTCAATGAATATGTGAGAGACAAAGGGCTTAGTTACACCACCTTTTCAGTACACTTGTTGGATCACAGATGTGTCCCCATTCCTTCTTCCTTATGTTTTAACAATGTAATTTTGGGGAACAGCAAGAAGTGTTAGTCTATCCCAAAGGAAACAAAAAATTGAAAAGGGGGCTTAACCTTCAGATAAGCAAGTTTGGGGTTTTTTAAATGCCTTTCAAGGTGGGTATTTGGGAGCATTTACAGGCTGTGGTTAAGCAGTGTGTTTGCAGGCTGTCCCAGGTATCCAAAAGCTTACTTGATACCTGTGTGAAATACCTAGTAAACCTGAATTGCATTAAGGAAGGAAATGCAGCCATTGTGTTTGTCCTGTGTCTGTACAGGAGACTGTAGAAAGCAGGGAAACCATTTGGTGAACTCTCTAGGGGATAGAGTGTAGCTTAAATGGCCGGAACTGATGTGCCCTTCATGTGACTGGTGTCATCATGGATGGATTTGGCTGAAGAGCAGTACAGTGATTAGCCTTATGGTACCACAAAGAAAAACATAAGAATTTAGAATAACAAATTTACCAAGGCTTTCCCAAAGTTGCAGGTTGTATGAAGGATAAAATCTACTATATATCCAGATTCCAAATTACACACTGTTTTGTCAAAATAGAAGGCAAAGATTTTTCAAATTTCAAAATTTTGGATGAATTGGCAAGAGATTTGTAATAGCTATTACTTAAAATCTAAGAACAGAACTTACTCTTCTGCTGACATAGTCTGTATGTTGGAGAACCCTCTTATGTGAAGATAAGCTCCTCAGACAGTGGGACTACTCTTTTGCATTGGATAAGCATTTATTTAAAAACAGAACACAGGACTAAGATTTTGTCTCATGACCTTTAGTATTGAACCAAAGCCACAAAGTTTGGGATGCAGAGTAGAATTTTAACTTTGTTCCTCAGTTGTATTTTTTTCTTTAGTTATAACCTACATAGTTAATATATATTATATACAGTGCCATCTGTATGACACACTTCACATTAAACAGCCCATGCTGTAAAAAATATCCCTTAAGTACTTTCTCATTCAAGTGTGATGTGAATGGTTCCAGGTAATTTGTGACTCACTTAACATGTATTGCCTTTCCATTTTCTGATGGAAGAGCTGATAAGATTCATGGAAATAAGTGTGAAAACTAGTTATAATGTAACATTTAAAAATATGCTGAAATTGGTGACTGTTTAGTGGAAATTGGTTTGGACTACACTATTAAGAATGACGAAATCAGAATACCTCTTCAATGTGGTAAATTGGTTTGTGTAAGATGTTGTAATCTTTGACATGGTAATATGAGTTTTCTTGGGCATCTGCTGTTTGGGAGCATCATAGGGATGCACAGTGTAGCTGTTTCTATTGAGTGACAGAGAGGAAGAAAAGATTTCCATGAAAAAAATACTCAGATGTTTCAGGAAGCACCCTTTTTTCCATAAGGATGTGAAGGCATTGAGAATATTTTATCTAAATCTGATAATGTGTTAGTTGAAGAAAATTACAACTTGACTCTTTCATCATTAATTTCTTTAGGCTTAGAGATGAACACCATTATAACAAGTCGCCTGTAAACTGCCAGTCAAAACCTCTGCCATATTTCTACTGAGCGGCAAAGAAACTGTTGGAAACCAGTGCTGATCCATCCAGTTATATCAGGGTTTTTATATAAGAAACAACCCCTATTGTAAAAGAGGTAGTGTTACATGGAACAGAGCAAACGAACAAACTCCTAGAGGGGGCAGGGAAGGACTAGGATGATTTTTGTGTAAATAGTCCTTGTTCAGGCAAGTGATCTTGTTTAGCTGGTGGGACTCTTCCCAGCAGGGAGGATGGTTGGAAATAGGACCTTTCGACTAATGTCTCTGCCTGTGCTAGTGAACACACCTGTTGTGCAGGATATCTGTCCTTTTGATATCTTTTTTTATCTTCCCACCTAAATCCTCCTTTGAGGTTATGTTTTTGGAGAATCTTAAAATCTCAGTGAGCTCTTATTGCAGGGTAGATTTCATAAAGGTCTATTGATTTTTCTCTCGGAGCGTTTTTTTTGGAAGGGTGGTGGAGTTTCAGCTTCAGCCCTAACCCTCTCACCACCAAAAGACTGATTTGTACCTCCTTATTCCCAGTTCATGTAATTCTAATGAGTTATCTCTTACCCTATCTGCTGACTTAGCTTTGCTGCTCTGTAGTCACTTGTGAAAGCTTACAAAGTGCGATATCAGTTAAGATGTTTCTGAGAATCTGAATTCCACTACAGAAAGCTTAAACCCAGTTGAATAGTACAATTTGTGAGTCTCAGCTGGTTCATTGCCAGGAGATGTGTTTCTAGATTCTGAGATCCGAACTATGGCTGAGCTAAAAAGATATTTAATAATATATACTTCTTAGCCCAACTTTCTTTCTATTAAGTATGGATTGTGGTATTGTGTGTTAAACTCGTTTTGCCCTGCTTGTGCTGCCAAGCCATGCTGTGATCCTGGAGATCACACAGGTGTTTAAACCATGCCCGCGCATGTGTTTTAAGCTGCTCAAAGCCTTGGGTTGACATGGTCCTCAAGGCCAGTCTTCTTGCATTCCCTGGGTTTGAATTGCAGGCTCCCAAAATTACTTCCTGGCTATTTTGAGAAACCCTTGGTCCTCACACCACAGTATTAGACTGAAGTGTTGAGAAAAGATTTATGCAGCTGGATTTGTACTATTCTGAAAGGGAAAGGATAACTTGTTGCCAAGCCAAATATATTCATTATTTTTTGATTACTTTCTAAAAGCAGCCAAAAACATTGTATAAGGGATAAACAATGGACTTCAAGCTAATATTTTTCCATTAAGAATTTATTTTTTTATTCTTCCTGTCATTAAGATATAGTCCTTTTTGGATGTAGCTTGTTTTCAGATCTATGGCTCCTGGAATTGTTTCCTTGCAGTTGAACATTACAGACATGCATTGGTTTTGAAAACTGTCTCATATGTGTTAGCACTTGTTCTGGAAATGAAAACTGAGCATGTTAGCTAATAATTTCTTGTACCTTTAAAGCCCAAGCAGACTGAAAAGCGGTCTTGTGCTATGTTTTCCTTGTATAGTGCATCTAAAAAAAACTTGGAGAAGGAACTCCATGATAAGATGACTTTTGTTGCTGTAAGTTTTTCTGTTGACATTTGTCAACTTGTAAACTATCTACACTGTATTTTACATAATTATCTTCAATTGACTGTCAGGTTAAAAAAAGAAAAGTTTTTTTGCCATATGGACTGTAGTTCAGATTTTTTTGTTGTTGTTACTTATATTAATATACTTTTTTCCTCTCTACAAGAAAGAACTATTGAACCTGACACTTCTCTTTAGGAGAAGTTACCACAGGTGATAACCACTTAAATGTTAGTAATTACAGTGGCTCCTCTTCTGTTTGGGTCACTTCCATGACAGATAGTTGGTATGAAAATGCTATTGTGGATGATATATAAACAGCTAAGGGAAATTAAGACTCCCCTTCAGAACTATATTGAGGTTATATTTTGTATGCCAGTTTTGAATGACTACTTTGAAACTATGTTGGGCTTCAAATGTCTTGCAAAATGTTGAATCCAAATGAGAAATACTTACTCTTTGTGTAATAGTCTGCTTGTCAGTTTTTTGTGTATGGCTCAGTACAAGGCTGTGTCAGAATTTCAGTACCATGAAATTACCTTGTTTAAAGGTCTTGCAAAAGTGAATGTTATTTTAAGTAAGAAATTCTGTTTTCTAATTTGTGAAGGAAGTTGTTTCCTTGAGAGTAAGCGTCCATAACTGTAATATATTTCATGATTTTGAAAAGGCTTCTTAATCATGGGAGATGAGAAAAGTGAAGAAGTGATTCATTCTCTGAAGATTTGTTAAGCATTTATTATTATAAGTATAAATTTTTGCTTTAAATAAAAATCCTTCTTCAAACACTTAATATTAAACTTCTTACTAAAATTCAGTAGTTTAAAATCCTGGATAAATATCTAAAATGGCAAAGATATAAAATTCAGAGGGAAATTATTTTGAAATATACCAGTATAATTTTGGGCTTCTCAACTGCAGCCCTGAATTTTCTCTTTTTCACTGCAATTCATATTTTGTGGGACTTTTTGGATAGGTTATATTTAAAGCTACATTCACTTGCCTGAATAAGTAAAATAAATATTTTGTCATTAAAATTATATAGATCTGCTTATGTTAGTGTGCCATTTAAAATGAGACCTCATTGAGGTAATCATGCAGGTATTTGTATTGGTATGACAATAGTGAAGTGGGGTATCTGTGTACTGTACCCGCATTCTGTGCTGAGCAAAATCACATGGACTTCCAGAAATAAAAGATGGTTTTTAAGAACAGCTTTATTTAATGTTGCAGCAGCAAGTGTCATTTGTACCATATAATTATGTAAATTGGGTGCTAATAAATACTATTTTTCAACATTTTGCATTGTGTTCATAACTTTACATAAGAAGTGTGGTTTTGCAGCATGTGCTAGGAGGGGGAGGTGCACTCAGGCTAAGACAAGTAGACATGTTTGTAAGGGCTTGAGGTAACTCCATGTGAACTTCCTATGGAACTGTGCGATGTCTCACCGTTCACAGTAATGCCTCAGTGTTTCTGTTCTCCATATGTCTTGGTTTTGTATTGCTCTGCCAAATTAGCACTGTTTGGCACCCCACATCTTTCCATGTGCTTAGGTGAATATGGGGTGAGCAGAGGTGCAGCATGGGTGTGGTGCTGTTGTGCAGGAGCTGGTCTGTCAGCGGTG